CCACATTTAGGTACATGAAATGTCTAGAAGACCTACATAATAATAACAGTTTATCATTTTGTCCCAGGCACTGTGCCAAATATGTTTCTTAATGTGGCTCAAATTAATGTTCATTATAGTAATTATAGACAAATTGGTCAAATTATGTGCTTATGAAAAGCATTTGGTTTCCCAAACAAGCAGAGGTTGAAACAGTGCTGTACAATCAATAATCTAACAGTCATTGATCCTGTATTATGGACTAAATAAAGTGACACACAAATTGACAAGACTGAGAGTGTCCTCTTGAGAGTTTTGTAGAATACCCAAGGCAAAATTTGGCTAATTACTTTGGTATAAATTTGTTGCCAGTTTAACAGATCTCCAACCATAGTCTTTCAAGAGGGTATCTTGATTGGTCTGGAGGCTTAGGTCTGTGCCTCTATCTGTTCGTTATGGACACTTCCTTACACTTTCAGCAACACAAGACAATTCAAGACAAAACAAAATACATGAGACAAGACTTTGTATGAATTGTCAAACAAAGGAAGACAAAGCAAACTGCAAAATCATAAACAGATTAATGGCAAAAATATTTACTGAATGGCATCCCTCAAAACCAAAAGTTCTAATAACCTTATGCAAAACTGAGGTATAATTATTTATCCAATGAATGTCCTTCCAAAACTAAAAGTTGAATTACCCAATACAAAGACTTAGAACTAATGATCCCAATGGGTCTTTATAACAAAAATCCTAGAATGACAAATTAATCAGCAATAAGAGCACAGTGAAACAAATCAGAACTCAGATCAGATAATTGTTGAGACACATTCAACTGGAAGTAAATTTGAAGGACAAATGGAATTTGGGGACAAGGGACAAGGAGAATGCACATGTTAGTCTGAGTGTCATAGGGGATGCTGCCAAGTGAGCAAGTTCAAAACTATCTTGGTGGGACTTCCAGAATTGCCAAAGGATGACACCATCACTCAAAATCTGATACGAAAACCAAAGCTGAATTTATTACTTAATTAAATATAAGAGCTATGCTTGTGAGGCATAGTCTCATTGAGCAAACTAATGATTATATGTAGGATTTAAGGGCTTATTTGTTTTGGATTTGCATGGTTTCAGAGACAAGGATGGGTTGACATCAATTTTTGAGTACTTTTTGTTTTATTATTTTTTTAATACAGAAGCATGTTTTATATTGGTTGTAGAGATTAGAAATGGGTTGACATGAGCCTCAGTTAATTTTCTGGAATGAGTCTTCTACTACTTAGCTGACTTTTAAAGTATGAAGCTGTCACTGGTTGGCTTTCAGTGGGCTGTTGACTGAAGTGAATTGTTAATTAATTAGATGGGTTTAAAACAAGTTCTGTGTTTACTTATTACCTGAAACTGAAATTAGAACTGAAATTGACTGCTTAAACAGGTTAAAACCAGTTCTTTACTGGCTGCATGGCCCGAGAACAGATTTTCCTGGGAGTTTGGGAGTATCTTCACATATTTATAATGGATGTGCGCATAAATTTAGCATTATATTTCAAGTAACGTTATTTCATGTCAGCTCTTTTATACTGACATAATCAACTCATGTATTGATATATTCCATATACTTGTTAATATTAATAGCTACATAATATATTATCATATTAATATGCCATAATTTGTATAGCCATTCCCAGTTGTTGAGCATTTGAATTTTTTCCCCATTTTTCACTATAACTCATAGTATTGCTATAACACTCCTTTTGAATAATTTCCTGAAGGATATAGTCTCCAAAGAGAAGTTAACAAAGGTTATAATGTTTTTCATGATTTAAAAAATAGGATCATTTGTAGGATCTGCACAGCATAGGTTCATCATTTGCCCCAGTTGCCTGACTGGCTTTAATTTATTTTTAAAAAGTTTTTATGACTTCAGATATTTTTACCTGAGTACATTAGGGTAATTTGTATTCTTGATGTTTTCATCTCTGCCTATACTTATGAACAAAACAAGATTCAGCAGTGGAAAAGTGGATGACTTTTGAAATAAGGACTTAGATTCATAGAATTCCATACAGGATAAATGTAAAGGATACAAATTATTTTGGGAGGGGATGGGGCCAGTGGGTATACTGTACCTGGCTCCTCCACTTTGAGAGCTAACTAGTAAATATTTAGGGATTGTGTAAGCCAATTATTAAATCATTAGTAGCTTGAAATTAGCCATGGGGGCCTTATTTGCACCACAGAAGTTGTCAAATGCTACAAATCAAGGCATGTTTTCTTGGAGAACCAGTTTACACCAGCACATCGCTGGATGGGAGCATTAGGCAGGGAACTTGGAATCTGACACTATAGGTAGATAGAATATAGATTGCTAATTTAAGAAAATAAGACTTCATATTTGATCCTGTTCTACACATGGTCCTCATTATGTTGACTTGGGAAGATGCCCAGTGAAAAAGACTAAGACATGAAACTAAACTTTCCCAAGAAAAATGCAAAATACAGCCAAATCCACATACTTGGTTTCATTTATCCTGGTTTGATGAACCTCTATTTTGCAAAAGTTGCTTCTTAACTGACCTCCATTTTCAAAATGCATGTTTTAGGCAGAAGTGTTCTTAATACAAATTATCGTATTTTATTTTGACAAAAATATTGACAAGAATGGACATCTATCTAAAGATAGGAGACTATTTAAAGATAGTATATATGGATATTTTAAAATTCTCCTCTCCACAAGAATCTCTCCTCTCCCCACAAGAATCCACAGAAAACACACACACACACACACACACACACACACACACACACACGAGAGAGAGAGAGAGAGAGAGAGAGAGAGAGAGAGAGAGAGAGAGAGGCTTCCACTGTAGTGAAACAAGAAATAGCCATGATGCAAACTAAGAAGTGTCCCTACTTAAGGAAAGATGTTCAGTCAAAGATTTTTATACCCAGCAAAATTGACTTTCACATATAAAGGGCATAAACTGTTTTCAGCATATAAGAATGCAAAGGATGTTGTTCCCATGAGCCCTTAGTGAGAAATCTAAAGAATAAGCTTCAGTTAAGCAAAGATGACATAGCTTCACCAAAGGAGAAATATACTGTGTGCTTCCTGATAAAATAACACTCTGCTTCTTATAGTCTTGCCAAAGAAATAAAACCAGAGCAAGGTTAAGCCTCTGTATCCAGCTGCCAGTTTGCAGGACATCCAGAGGACAAAAGGACATGTTGAAGTGCCCTTTGAATATATAGTCAGCAAGGTCCAGGTTACGGAGACTCTCCAGGTCAAATTCCCAGGTTCTTCAACAGATAAACTGTAAAGGGAAAATGGGGATGAAAAAGGAACCTGTAGTTTAAAAGAGAATTAAAAGAAATATCAGTAAATTTTAACAGACAAGGCTAAAATATTCAGTTAGTAACCCAAAGATATAAACTCTAAGAACATTTAAAGATAGCTAATTTCATAAATATCATTCTTTTTTCTCAGCCTTCTACATTTTTTTCCGGAAACTAACATTTGAGGTATAACTTAATCTAACTTATAAAAGAATGTTTTAATGCCTCAGATTGTAAACTGTATGTTTTATACTTAACTTTGAGGCAGTGCAGCAGGAGTTTTGAAGTAAGTCCCAAGTTTAAATGCTAGCTCTTCCATACTGGCTGTGTGACTTTGGGCAAATTGCTTAATGTCAAATGGGGGTGGAAGTGATTTTTATGTATTTCTTTTTAAACAAATAGTAAATTATAACCTCTCTTGGAGCTGTTGCAGGAGTGCATGAAATACCATGTGTATAATTCCTGGTATTGTTGTTGGCTTATAATAGGCAGTCAATAAATGAAGGCTACTCTTACTTTGGTTTCAGTAGGTGTGGTGTGGGGCCCAAGAAGTCGGTACTTTTAAAAGCCTCTCAAATGATTCTAATGGTTGTTCTAATTTGGGACACACAGTCCCTGATAAAATTCTTCAGGATGTGAGCAAATACTCAGCTTGAAGGATGTTTATCAATGCATTTCTTACAATACTAGAAAAACTGGAAAACATCTAAGAGAATGGCAAAATAAACCTGTGGTCTATCCATGTATTAAAATATTATGTGGCCATTAAAATTAAAATCGAATAGCTCACATAGTGTCATGCGTCAGGCACTGTCCAAAATACCATGTGTATATAGTCTCATTTAGTCGTCCTGTGAGATGGGTTCCATTATTACCTCTATTTGACAGATGAAGAAATTAAAAATGTACGTGACATTACAAATAACAAGTTAGGAAGCTGAAACATTTCTAAACTATTAATAATAAAAAACATTTTTATAATAAAAAGTTGGCCTTGTTAGAGGAAAGACTGAATTAGCTGCCTAACAAAATATTTCAAAATTGTCATATGAAGAAGTAATCATAGTTATTTACAGCCAAAAACTAGGGGGAAATAGTATTACAAAGGTATGTTAGTTATTTTTCTGAATTTTTTTTATGTGTGTTTGTGGTATTTGTCAGTTTTTTTAAATTTGTAATTTGTTATTTTTCTCATTCTAAATAAATGCTATCTTTTAAGCCCTTTTCTTATTAAGCCCTCCCCTGAACAGATTGTATAAGCTTCAGGTCCCACAAAACCTGGATCCTCACCCCTCTGCCTACCACATATGCATCATGAGAGCCCCAAAAGAGAGACTGGGACAAATGCAATAGAGGAAAACTGCTTAGACAGATGATAGATGAAAATAATCTTCGTAAAAAGCTTCCCAAAAACTAACAGAGGTGCCCTACGCTGGCAGAGGGGCACTATGTAACTTTAATCAGTTTGGGGGCTGCTTTCTGTTCACATTTAATGGAAATGGGTAGGATGATCTCATAGGGGAGAGATTGCTCGGAAACAAAACTTTCAAAGTTTTGTTTTTCAGTTCCACTATGTGGCATACACTATTCAGATGACAGTAATATCACTTAATTGGTTTGGAGGAAAAGCAGGGAGGCAATTTAGAGTCCCCTTAATCAATCCATTCTTCTTTGTTTCTTAGAGTCTGATATTTCTTGTTCGAGACTGGAGTTTCCCATATGAATTTTCATATGGATCTGATGGTGGCTCCAAATTCCTGGAAAAACGCCTCAAGGTTTGTTAGATATTTAGATGCATGAAATTTCCCCAGTAGTAATCTAGAATTATTTTTGTTGAATGATTTGCTGAATACTCAGTAGCCACAATCTCATTTAACCTTCATAACATCTCTGTGAACAAACTAAGATTGATGTTTAATAAAATACTGTAGGTTACAATTTTAAATATTATCAATAATTATGGTACAGAAAAAACAATAGAAGAAAAAAATAAAGAAAGAACAAAAAATTATGACAGAAAAAGAGTTCTTTTGTAGATATCTGTAATATAATGATTTATTCCTTAAAGCTGAAACTTTTAATTTAAAGAATCAAATCAGTTCAAGATTGACAGTAAAAAAACTGGATTCATGTTTTAGTGGAGTTTTAAAGTCAATTTAACAGAAATATTTCATTTTGAAATTCCCGAAGTAAATCTTAGAACATTTTGGTAGTAGTTCACAGAAAGTGAAATTAGAAGGCTTTCCATTTTCTATGTCAGGATAGTTCAATATTGAATGAATTGCTTACACCGAACAGATATCGTCCAAAATACCTACTGAGTAATCAGGAAAAAAATGGAGATTAAAAAAAAGTTCCTTGATAATCAGAATCTTTAAGCTTACCTTTTTTGGTTTATTGTTATTTTTAGGGTAGTTTGTCTTTACTATTAACTGTCAAATAATGTTTAAAAAAAAAGGCAGGGGAAGCAATTTAGCTTATAAAAACACCCAACTATCCAGATGCCTTTCTAGAATTTAAGTATGTACCTACCAGGTTACAAGAGGCTGTCTTGAGTATCTCCTAAAAGAAGGTAAGAATGTCTTATGATCTATTCATGTCTCCCGTGAGTACTTTGAATTAAAATTTGAATTTGTCAGAACTAGCTAGAGTAAAACTCCACTAATTTGTACTAAACAATGGGAAGGCCCACTGAGTTAGCAAGAATAGACATTTGTTAATCATAATAATAATGCCATATGTATACTATACGTAAGATATGGCTGTTTTCTTTCTTTAGTATCAGCCCTGCCATGTCATTTTTTTATCATTGAGACCAGACAGACATAGCAAATACAAGATGCCACAGAATTCTTCTGGAGTTTGATTTATATTGAAAGTAGTTTAAACTTCAGAATGATTTACTGCAGGTCTCAGGGAACCAGCATGAAGAACTACAGAATGTTCGAAAACACATCCATTCCTGTTTCACCAAAATTTCCTGTTTTCTGCTACCTCATCCTGGCTTAAAAGTAGCTACCAATCCAAACTTTGATGGAAAACTGAAAGGTTTGTCTGTCTTTTAATGAATATGTTTATGTCACTTAGTCTGAGTACAAAAATGTCATTTTACGCACAGGGCTTGTGGCTGCTAGTTTAATTTATCAACTGATGTGAGGCTGATGATTAGAAATTTTCAGTAGAGCTGGGAATCCTGGGCTTATGCTCAAGCACCTCCCTGGTGAACTGTGGGATTCTATAGGTGCCGAACACGTACACTGAGAAAATAGGCCAAATCCTGCATTCACCTGGGAGGCATTAACCTTCACGCCTTCTCAGAGGTTGCTACTCACCTCTGTGCTCCTTAATATCTTCCTGTTCAACTTTCCTTATTTTCATTTAAGAGGAAAAATACATGTCTATATTTTTGGAATGTTGTATTAAATTAATATAATTAGAGATAGAAATACTGCTTAGTACTGAAGTGAAGCACTTTAAAACCACTGCTAAAAATTTAATTATAAATAATTTAGAAACTTCACTAATAATGAAATCCTCTTCTGAATGAGAACCAGTTTCAAAAAAAACAGAGTGTTTTTCAAATAGTATAAACTAATGGTATGTAATTATCTCTTGAACAGAGGTCTGACTAACATTTTAAGATTCCAAAGCAACTCCATTTAGTTTAAAAAAAAGGGGGTGGGGGTGGGGAGGAAGGACTTGGAGGCAGGGATCTGAGGAAGCAGAAACTAATCTTTCCTAATAGATAATCGCTAGTTCCTTAGATGTTTGCTTTGTAGTTAATACAAGGTAGTAGAAAGATATTTCTGATTTTTCACTTGTAAGCCTAGTATTAAGTCCATCACCAAGTTCAGACATTTGCTTAATTTACTGCAGCCTTTTTGCCTTGTGCCAGGGGTAATGAGAGTGACATGACAAGCTTTTCAGCACAGATGTGCTCAAAGGGCTTTAAAATGGACAGCATAACTCGTATTCAGTTTTTATGGAACTGGCAAGTTTGAAAAGCAAACCTATTTTTTCCCCCTATATCCATGGTGTTTACTCTCTAGATAACCGTGTATTTAACTATAGCAGTTAATATCATAACAGAATCCCAAATTTCTGAATCTTCAGCATAGTTTTTATACATGTTTTAAATTGTCTTTTCTTTACACAACAGAACAGATAGCCATAGGCACATGTTAATGCATGGATTATAGGACCCTATAATTTTACTGTCACTTCTGAATTCCAACCCACTAGTGAGCACACAGACCTCTTGATACCGTGCAATTACCTAATGGCTTCAATATGTTTTGAATAAATTCCATAAAGAGAGGGCTCCCACAAGGCCGTTCTTTCTTCTCTGTAGTTGGGGAGCCATAAATAGGCAGAGCAGGGCCAGGCCTTCAACAGCAGTCCTTTACTGAGACAAATTGTGCTTCCTTAGCAGCTCCAGTTAGACTTCAGACAGCATAGCCAAGCACCAGTGCAAGGTTATTATTTTTAAAAAGGTATTTCTAATGACTTGTCAGAGTCAGATAATCCTGAGAAAATGCCTTCCTTGGTTGGTTTACACAGCAGCACCATACCGGTGCATCTGCCCTGCAGGGTTCTTATGAAGCATGTATCATCGCCAGTTATCATGACCGATGATGACTTTGGCCTAGCTCCTGAATTCCTAGCAAGGTTTTACTCTTGTGGCAGAAATTGTTGAAGAAGTGATAGAAACAGAACATCATCCTGAATAATCACCCACCCGCACATATTATTGAACACTTGCAGTGAGCCAAAGCTGACTAGCGTACCTCTGCAAGTTGATCTGAACTGGTCTGCAGATGTTCTGGGTTATGGATTTACTTGTGTTCCATTAATATTGTTAGCTAGAGCTCCCCACTTGTGTGTGACATGAATATAATGTTCGTATTTTCTGAATCCAAAATTGGACTACCTGGCATTGGTGAGAATAAAGTTAGACTATGGCTAATACCATCTTCAGAACACATTTTTAATCCAAATGTGTGGTGCTGTACTGGTTATTTTGATGATAATTACCACACTTGCTGGTGCATTAGATATGCAGGTGTATCTTACTCCATTACAGTTTTATAAGGAATTTTTTTTTGGAGGAGTAGAATTTAAGTCTATGTTTTAAAAGTGGTTTTATAAAGAAAGAGAAAGCTTTTTGTTTTATACAGATATTCAGGGATAATTCATATATTCTAGATATATAGTAATAGTCTACTAATGCTGAAAAAAAGCATAAAATCATAGAGCGAAAAAGAAACCTATTAGCATCAGTGAATACAGATACATAGTAGGCAACAAAACACAACATAGGAACATAGGAACATAATATAAATACCAGTATTTAGAGAAAACTAAACTAAACTAAAACTAAACTAAACTAGTAACTAAAAAGCAGACCACAATAATAAATACATTTGAATAAACCTATAGTAATACAAAGCACAATTATCAGTAAAAATTGGTACAGTGCAAACAGAAAATAAATTTGAACAAACTCCTCTACAAGTACTCATGAAACATGGACACAAATTTCAAAATTTGTGCTGCACAAAACATGAAGTAAAACAAATCAGAAGGATTTCCAACATCATGCTCATACACATCATAAAAGCAGTAAGCAAGAGAAGAGAAACATGAATTCTTATGTAAACTGGTATTTCAATGTACGTTGGGGCTATAATAACAAGGAGGGAACGTGTAAACAAATCATAAGGTTTGACTATTTACCCTTAAGGCCTCAGAAATAACCAGCCCCAAAGCCTGAAAACTCAGTGACTCTGCTGAAATTCAGATTTTAAAAAAATTATAGGAAGTTAAATAATAATTTTAAAAATTAGACTGTGTTCAAAAGATGTCTCTGAAAATACTTTCTGGGTTACTTTCCTAAATCTGTAATGTTAAGCTTGAACCTAACTCTGTAACGTGGGTTATGTGTCATCACATGTACCAAACACGGTAGGTCGGTAACTCAGACTGCCTCTAATCTGCTGGCTGCCAGGCCTCTGGTGCCTTTTCTTAACAGTGTTATTTTGTGTTGCTGAGTTTCACCACTGCAGGCAGCATCAGCATCAGTGTCTTTTCGAACTTGAGTCCCACTTCCCACTCCCCACCGAGTTCCATACATTTTTCATAAGGTGGGCACACTAAACACAACTTTTAGATACATTTTCTCAAGGGAGTACATCCTATAAAATCGTAAATATCTGCCCTTTCCCCATTTAGGAGCCCATATTATATACATATACTTTTATATAAACCATGAACAAGACTTAAAGATATCAGAACACATGAAATGGTTATGTGAATGGGGTATAAAACATTTGTATAATGTATAATATCAAGAAAGCTATTTTATAAGTGAAAGACAAGATAAAAATGTAATTAGAGCAGAGATAAGAAAGACCAGCAATAGGAGTTTGGGCAAGGAGGATCGTTTAGCCTGAGAAAAGTGGGTTTCAGGAGTAATTTAGATGATGGGAAAGTGACAGCTTTATTCCTGGGGAAGAAATAGAGGAAGTCAAAGGATGAATAATTTTATTGTATGGCATGGAGGACTGGATAGGATTTTTAAAATAATGATGAATTTGCTTTTACTTGTAGAAATAGATGATGAATTCATCAAAAACTTGAAAATACTCATTCCTTGGCTACTTACTCCTGAGAACCTAGATATTAAAGAGATCAATGGGAACAAAATCACCTGCCGAGGTCTGGTGGAGTACTTCAAGGTATCACTCTCATTTCTAGAGCGTTTGTGAGTACTTGGGTTTGACATGTTTGGGAATGCAGTTCCTACCTTAAACAAAAAAAGAAAATTGTAGACTCTGTAATATGAGGTAAAGGTATTGAGGTCTATATAAAAATGATAAAAATGTTATTAAACTCCCAAGAGGAGCTTGCGTTCTGAAAAAAATTTTTGAGGAAACTCCTTGAGGTAACTTTACGATCTTCTTTTATCGTGACAGAAATATATTTTGAAACATAAAGGTATCTAAGAGTTGGAAAAGTCTGTTTCCTTTTAGGGGGAGGAAGTATTTCCCAGGGTGCATACCACATAGTCCTCAGTCATGACCTATACTGAATTTTAGCTTCATTCTGAAGATTTTCCCCAAGAGGCTGTACTTTGCCTTCCTACTGGAGAACATTCTTCCACATTTCCTGCTCTCTGCACCAAAGGCCAATTTGAAGTGGAATCTATTTTAAATTTGCATTAACCTGTTTACCTCAGGTAGCCCCAAATACAATTCTTTTTTTTTTAACCAATGCACATATATAGCAGAGGATTTCAGTTACCAATCTATGTGTATTGATGCTCCAAGGACTGAAATATCAATTTTTTAAATTCACATTTTATCATTTTAAAATATGATCATATGCCTCCTATGTGATATTTACCTTCATCATTCTCAGCAATGAATGACATGTTATTTATTTATTTAAAATTTGAATCCTTGGCTGTGCACAAAACAGTGTGGAGGAGCTTAGAATTTAGTAGGAGATTTAGGGCCCTTGCACAGATATATTCCATAAAGCTTGTGGCAGCAGTAGGTACAAATTCCTATGGGCAACTGAAAGAGAAATGTTACTCCTAGCAGAGGGATCTGAGAAAGTTTTAAAGAAGGTGACAGTGAGTTAAGCCTTTGGAAAGGGTAGGATTGGCAAGTGGAGATGTGTGAAAAGGGACTTGCAGGAAAAGGGAACAAGAACTAAGAGGGAATTAAAAGTAGAGAAAGAGATAACTGTTCCTGAAACTGTCAAGGCCTTTTTTAATTTATTTTTTTTAATTATCAAGACCTTAGACCTTAGAATACAATTTAACAGACTAGAGAAATATTGAATGGAATTATTTGAACATGAGTCTTTTTCTTATCTTTTTTTTTGTGGGTCAATATAAACCATTTATTTATTTATTGAGTTATAGTCAGTTTACAATGTTGTGTCAATTTCCAGTGTAGAGCACAATTTTTCAGTTATATATGAACATACATATATTCATTGTCGCATTCTTTTTTGCTGTGAGCTACCACAAGATCTTGTATATATTTCCCTGTGCTATACATCTTTTTCTTTCTTTTTAAAAATTTTTTTTAGGCTTACATAAAGATCTATCAAGGCGAAGAATTACCACATCCCAAGTCAATGTTACAGGTATTTATTCATCAAGAGGCATGATATTGTAAAAACGTATTGTCATGGAAGCTGCGCTGAAGATATGCTCCAATCTGGCCGTCAGAAATCACTAAATAATAATAGTGGGTGGAATGACTTATTGGAAGATTATTTTTCTAATAATTACCCATTTGTGTTCATCTAAACATTTTCACATACACATACAGCAGCCTCATTTGTGCTGAGATATACTTTATACCAGAGTCTTCATTCTCTTTGAATTAAGTTTAGGAAACAGATTCATACTGTGATTTAGATTCACACATGTAACAGGAGGTAGAAAAGCAGGTCCAGGTTTTAAACAAGTGGACTCTACAAATAAACATTTAAAAAAGGTAAAACTCGATGTTTCTCATACTTATTTTTTAAATTTCTGTAAATTCTTAATGGTCCCTTTTTGTTATCAGTGGTACATTGTTCTATCAGTAGTAACCCTTCAAGTTGACATATTTTTATATATATTATGTATGTAAAATGTACTACACATTGTTTCCCATGTGTTTGGATTTATAGATCCCCTTCCCATATTTGGTGACAGGCTTAAAAATATTTTTAAGAGGAATAATCTTCCAAATGAAAATTCATTTTAGAACCATGGTTTATTGAGTAAATTTCTATGTTTTATGCATTTTGAAATTTTAAATTACTAATTTTAAAAGATGTAGTGGAAATATTTCAACACTTTTCAAATTATTTGATGACCTTGGGTTCTTGCACATTTCTTACACATGATGCTCGTGTATGAGAACTGCTTGTGGAAGTTTAATAAACATGAATTCCATTTTACATCATATTTTGTACTTTGTCCAAAGGCCACAGCAGAAGCTAACAATTTAGCAGCCGTGGCAACTGCCAAGGATACATACAATAAAAAAATGGAGGAGGTAAGAGTTAAATAATATCTATTTCTTGTGTATATATATATATATATATATATATTTTATTGAAGTATAGTCAGTTTACAATGTTGTGGCAGTTTCTGGTGTACAGCATAATGCTTCAGTCATACATGAATATACATACATTCATTTTCATATTCTTTTCCACCATAAGTTGCTAAAGATAATATTTTAAATGTTTTGCATAAAATCAGTATTTCTTCCATGAGCTCATTCTTCTTTCTTCCAAGTTACACTGTACACACATGCAAAGAGTGGCTTTGACTTACTCTCTCAGCCTATCTGTATCCCATTTCTTTTTATTACATTCTTAAAATATTTTAAAATAAACATGCCAAGAACATGATGTATGCACAATTCTAAATGTACTTTAAATGAGTTATCTCTTTATAACAGAGACACATTTTTTAAAAAATTCACTTTGTAGGGGTAGGGGGTACATTTCCCACTGTTTATAAGATCAAGTGGCTAAAATAACATACTGTCCTCTCTACTACACCTCCCTACATTCCACAATTCCAGTATTTCTATCTTAAATATAAAAACTTGTTAGCAAAAAAATAGACTTCGCAGACCAGTATCTCTAAATACTGTATTTCCTCTTTTTAACATTCTGAATTAGGATGCATCTAATGATTATTGTTTACATCTACTAATGTGATAAGTTTTCTTTCACTATAAAGTGAAAATTATATCAAAATTGATCGAGTCTTAAAAGTCGAGGGAAATATAGCATATGGAATGGTGTTTACAACATAATTAAAGGGGATTTGGAATGAGAGTCTCCTTTATATCACTAAATCTCAAATAACCAAAGTGATATGGGTAACAGATTTCTCTTGTAACTTTTGAAAAAGTTGAAAATGTGGTCTAAGAACATTTAATATGCTTCCATTTAGTCTCTTGAAGAAAATACTCAATGGGTTCTATTCAAACAAAAATTAGTGAAACTGCCAAAGAAAATGTTTTTCACAATTTTATTTTAGAGCTGTATAGCATTGCTCATTGTTTTAAATTAAACTTCATTGGTCAAAATTATTCAGTGTAGTTAGAATAAATCTCCTACAGGAACTTGGATAAAAGTAGTTATCTTAAATTTGGATTTATTCTATTAATGAACTCAGTTTGCAGTTCTCTTTGTATCCTGCCTTTTCGTTTTGAGGAACTTGGATTAAGTCATGGGTATTCCTTCCTGTGTCTAAAAGAGAAGAAAAATTAAGAAAGACTTTATATAAGTCACCTATAAAGTACCAGTCCCACTTATAGTCATGCCTGATAAATGTGGAATGTGGAAAGATGTGGGTTGACAAAATATAATGCAGCCTCCTTCTCATTCTTGTGTTCTAACAAATTCAACTAGCTAAGTGAACATGTTTGACACTGTTGCCGATTTTACTCTCCGCTGCATAAACAGTATTTTTCTACCTGATACAGATTTGTGGTGGTGATAAACCATTTCTGGCCCCTAATGACCTGCAGACCAAACATCTGGAGCTTAAGGAAGAATCTGTGAAGCTCTTCCGAGGGGTGAAGAAGATGGGTGGGGAGGAATTTAGCCGGCGTTACCTGCAACAGTTGGAGAGTGAAATAGATGATCTTTACATCCAGTATATCAAGCACAATGATAGTAAAAATATCTTCCATGCGGCTCGTACCCCAGCCACACTGTTTGTTGTCATCTTTATCACATATGTGATTGCTGGTGTGACTGGATTCATCGGTTTGGACATCATAGCTAGCCTATGCAATATGATAATGGGACTGACCCTCATCACCCTGTGCACCTGGGCGTACATCCGATACTCCGGAGAATACCGAGAGCTGGGAGCTGTCATAGACCAAGTGGCTGCAGCCTTGTGGGACCAGGTAGGAAGACTTTTAATTCTTTTCAACTAAATGCAGCACACATTTGAATGCCATCTATGTACCAGACACTATGTTAGATGTTAGAAATAGGCAGATGAACATGACTTGGGCCCCAGTCTTCAAGAACTTTAGAATCTGTCAAGATGGTCAGACACAGACAACTAACTACAACATGTGAAGCCCTATACAACTATTTTCCAGTCAACATTTCAGTATTTTTCAAAAATATATAGACTGGATAGTGTTTCTACTTTTTCTTATCCTTAAAGTTAAAGCTGTTGAAAGAAGTGAGAAAACACAGTTTTTATTAACTGATTGTGACTCAATTATGTGTTAACATTACTTCATACTTACAGCCTATCAGTTGACTAGCATTGGCTTTGTTAGAAGCATATATAAACCACTATTGTAAATTGTATCACTGTCTCTTTTAGTAAAACCCCTAAATGCATTATCTGATTATTTCAAACTGTCTCTATTTGAGCCATGGATTTGTACCAGGCCTAGTATGAGTCCAGGTCAACCTCTGGATCAGCTGCTTATGCGTCAGTTGTCCTTTATGGTCCAATTAAACAACCCAGGGAGTCAGAGTCACCATGGTCCATTGTTCAAATAATTGATATGGACAGGGGACAAATTATAAACACATTTAGAATAATAATCAACTCACTGTATCATTCTGGAAGTGTCTTCAATTACTTCAGTAAAGTTTAGGGGAACTTTGTGAGGCTAAAATTGAGAATCCTCATAAAATTTTGGAGTTAAGACTTGTGACTATTTATGGTCTGCAGGTAGCAAGTAGTAACTACAATTCTCCCAGCATTAAGAGTACACTTATACATACTCTTTAAAATAAAACTGTAACTAATGGATATTCTGGGTCTCTTTGGAGAATCTAGTTAAGATAAATGGTAGCACTATGGGAAAAGAATGAATTAAAACTGGACCCTCTGAGCCAGTGCGTCAAACAGCCCCTTAGATGAAGAGGAGCTACTTGAGGTAAATCCCAAAGCTCTCCAAGAGTATGCTGCTGAAACCTATGAGGAATATACAACTAAGTTCTTCAGAAGATTCAGATTAAATATGTAATCTAAACTGAAAAAATCTGCAGGGGTATTTGTTCTTAAATGCTCACAAATGACTACTGTACATAAAATTGACTATCATAATGCTGTTAATGAAGCAGGATATATACTTCTCTTTTCTCCCTTTTAAACTGCCTTTGCCACAGGGAAGTACAAATGAGGTAAGTTACATTTTTTAAAATTAAGAACTATGTATTTGTAAACATTACAATATTCTTATTTTATAAACCAACTAGCCATTGAAGGATGTCTTAGTGTAGATTAAAAATCTTTGGTGATTACTGCTCCAATTTTAATTGTGAATTTTGGCCATGGTTCTAAAATACTTATTTTATTCCAGACATCCTATGTGATTTGATCTGCATATGAAACTCAAGAATTTATTACCATGAATATTTTATGTTTTGTTTTCTGAATGTTTAGAAAATTTCAAAATTCTTAAGCTCCAACATCGTGCATTTTGCTTTACTGCAGAACGAAACAAGTACAGTTATGAATCTTGAGGAAAATTAACTGCTGGAGAGTAAATGGAGCTACAACCTTTAGAAGTTGTTTTTAACTTTGGCTTCTGAGTGAGTTCCCTATACCACTTTAAGCAGGTTCCAGGCCAGTATGCAGTGTAGCTTTCTTGGCATACCTTGACCTGACCTGTAAACTGGTGTTCATTCCTCCCACTGCACATGTGCAAAGCTCTGTGTCTGAGGAAAAATCTGTGCTTCATGAAGGAATCATTTGTTGCATAAGAAAAATTATCTTTGTGGAGTCTTTTGGTCGTTTTGCTCAGGAAGCAAAACTGATCTTCAGCAACTACAGAGACAGCACGTAATTCTTTCCTCAGTTTCTGCTATTATATATAACCGGATTATGTCCTCTAATACCAAGAATACATTTAATATTTACAAGTCAATATGGAATTATTTTATGTAAAATTCAGTAAAATGAATTCACTGAAAAAGTAGAAACAAATTTCAACTTTGTAAATCAAATTTTAAAAAAATCTAAGCTTTTAAGAGAACACAGATTAAATTTAATGTGTTAGAATCAAAATATAATAGAACTAAGACATACCATGTTGCACCAAATATACATTTGTAGAATTGAAGATAGTACTATTCAGACTTAAGAAAATAGCCATACAGACTCAAAAAGATAAAAATGAATGGACTTTCCTGGGAATTGTTTACTATTAAAGGACATCAAAAGCTTTATCCAACTTTTAAAAATATTCAGACTTTTTACAGACTCCAGAATTACATCAGATAAGCTGGTCTTAACTGAATGTCCATTATGTGAAAGTTAGAGGAAGTAATGAATCTTAGACTGCTGAGGGAGGAAAAAAAGAACATACAAATATTTGTGGATACTTACACAAAGCAATATGTAAAAATTCCTATGGTTCAGACACTGTTAACTGGTCACAAAGAGTATTCACACAGGTAGTTTTAATGAGGAAAGGCTTTCTGAGGTAACGTTTCTGAATAAGGTTTTGTAAGATATGAACTAATTAATGGAAACAAGGCAAGCGAGCAAATTCAAGGGATCCCAATGTGGGCAAGAAACATGCTTATTTACATGACCATGTCAGGAAATAATGGAAAATAAAAGTGATCTCATTCTTAGGAATGAGAAAATCAGGAAGCTCTGATAGGAAGTGGTCTACTTATGTATAACAGTTATTGGCAGTAAGAAGTTGTGAGCTCCTATAATTCCTCTAAACCTGATAATATTCACAATGTGGGTTTTCAGCACACTGGTGGGGCACAGTGGTTAAGAAGCTCTGCTCCGAGTGTGAAAGGCAAAAGAAATGAAGATTGAGAATAGAATATTTACCACGAAGATAACCCACAAAAGTAGTAACATTAACACACTGGAGAGTTGAAAATACTTTTGAGGACTAAGATATTAGTTATTAATCTATATCTTTTTAGTTAGTTTAGTTCCCAAATACATTTCATATGACAATCTTACATAAATGTTCCAGAACACATGGGGATTATCCAGTCAGTTTTACTTATCACTGGTTGGCTCAGGCTTAAAGCAGAGATGCGTGAGGGGACCTGCTGGGAGGGCCTTGGTGTCTTCCCCGGGCTCAGGCTCGGGCTCAGGCTGACTGAGGCCAACCCGAGGTCTTGGTGGCACAGCTGCAGAGACAGCCTCAGTCTCTGATTGATGACATAAGGATTCCAAATTTAGCATGCTAAATTTTATATGGTACCATAAACTAGTGTATCTGTGTATTTAATGTTTTATAATCTTGATTCTTGTATTTCTAGGCTTTATATAAGCTTTACAGTGCTGCAGCAACCCACAGACATCTGTATCATCAAGCTTTTCCTGCACCAAAGTCAGAATCTACTGAACAATCAGAAAAGAAGAAAACCTAATCCAAATTTTTAAAAATACAGGTGCATGACCAAATTGTCAGTTAAATATTGTTTTATGTCTCCATGCAAACATTCAAAAGTGCTTCCATCAGAACAGAGTAAAATACCAAGCACCTCTGAAGATTGCAAAATGGTTTTAGTTCTTTTACTTCAGTGTTTAATAAGCAGATGTATGTATGCATGGTTATATCATTTTGTTAACATGTACAGTTTCCTGATTTTTGTCTTTAAATATGCTGTTATAATTTAAAGTATTTGTCTATTTATGATAACAGTACATGTGTTCTGCTTGAATTTACTAAATTCTGCTACCAGGTTATAGTTAAACCATGTAGTAATATTACTCCACATTTGGATATGCTCATTTAATTTCTACAGAAGAATTTTTAAATTATTTCACAGTCACCTGTTAAAGATAGCATCGTAACTCAATAGGCTTGATTCAATCTATAGCATTTTACATATATCATTAGCTCATATTTTAGAAGACATTTAAGAGAGCTTTTCAGTTGCTTTATCAAAAACTATATATTGCTTCTTTTATATTATGATTTAATATAGAATATAAACCTCTTGATCAAAAATGCACAAAAATCACTTTGTATATGTATTTGAGTTTCACTGCATTGTATATTTTTTCATTTGGTACACAAAGAAATGTATTCATCATAGGTTTATTCTTTTAACATGTGAACTATTATTAAAGTTTACTCTGGTTCCTAAGATTAAAAACAACTGAATTTGGAAATGTTTGAGAGGTATTGATAAAGAATGATTGAAGATTTCTCTTTTTCAAATTCAAAATGCTTTTTTAAAAATATTGACACCATTACAAATTCAGCTTTCCATTTTAAGAAATGTATGCTAATCTCTTTTAGGTACATTCCAGTTCTTTTACATTAGTGATTCTATATTGTATTTCCAATTACTAAAATTTGTAGTGGAATTTCAAGGAACATACTCTTTAAAGAGAGAAAAAAAGTGTGGTAATGAAAAAAGGAAGGTAATGCCTCTTATCTGGGAGCTCTAAAACAGTAATTTCTAACTTTCTTAGAAACGGCTAAGCCTTAAATGGTACTATTAAGTAAGGAGTAGACAATGACCAGGATAGAAGAGTGTGTGAGGGTTCTTAAGATATAGAAACTCACATCTTAGAAAAGTCTGATCAAATGCCCTGCAGAATAACTTTTCCCACTGATAAAATTCCACTAACCTATTTTCATTTTTCAATACCCCTTTCATTATACTGCTTCCTTTGCCTATGGGCCTTCTGAATGGAAAAACAGTATTTATAGCACTATGCATAAAACATGGACTCAAACACAACACATTTAGTTTCCACAAAAATATATTTAATAACCTTGTTATATAAAATCAAACATGTAACATTTTCAACATTTTACCAATAATTCAAACTCAATGGTATCTAACTGGGAGTGCTTTGTATTTTGGAAGGTTACCTAAACTAAAAATTTATTTACATATTTACAACACGTCTAAATATAACTGAATAGCTATTTCAATAAGTGTTGAAATTCACAGAATTCTAGAGATTTATAGGCTAGACGTGCCATAAATTTCCTGCAATCAAATATACTGTGCTAATTATGAACAATGTCTTAGTAACTATTAAGCCAAAAGGAAAAAAAACTGGAAGGGAAATACTGGGTTTTAAAGTTCTGTGACAAACTCTTAGAAGATAAAAGATATGTAAAATCAATTTAATGACCAAGATTTCTTAATGAATCCCTGATTGTCATTTTTGGCAGCTCAATCCAGTCTGTTAAGATGGCAACGTGCTATGCTGTTGGGAACCCTCCGCTGTCTCATCAGAACCATGCTACTAAATGCCATAAGAGCCCTGGCCCACAGTAAGGAAGTAATGTTAGCAACTTCTGAGTGCTGTACATACCTTTCCCACACAGGCTAAGGCCTTATGCCTAAATTTATTCCTGAAAGATTACAGGCCCTTCACCCTTTCATACCAAAAAATACTTTTCTCAACATGTTTTAAAAGGGTTCTTTACATTTGGAGGGGGGAAGAACCCCACACATTATATATAAAAACTTATCACAATAAAGGACCCAAATACCATCTTATGTTTTGAACTACACGATGGTAATATTTAAACCATCCAATTTCAGACAGTATTCCACACTAAAGCAGTAAACATCTTTTTTTAAATACTGCATAGATTATCTCTCTGTTTTTTAAAGAAAGGTACTGCTACTGGAAGAGTTTACCAACTGATCACTTCCCATTTAGTATATGGTTAAATGACATTTCTTGCTGCATTTGTCTCCATCGAGAATATTCAAAGTAGTTTCCAAACGTACAGCATTCAGAAATGTTTGCCATGCTGGCTCTTAAAATGATAAACTCATTTTTTTCTCAATAAAAGAATACTTTTAATAATAAAATATATGTAAAATTAGAATTTTATAATCTCAAAAAAGCAAGCTGCCTTTATTAACCAAAGTACTTGTTTGCAGTTTTTCATCTGTGAAGATATTTTAAAGCCCTTATAAAACTTAAATTTTATTTTTATAAATTTAAGTTAAAAATTCTTGCCATGTTGCTGAGCATACCACTGCTGTCTCTGCTTGCGATTTTCCAACTCTGTGAGAAGAGCCTGTCTGTAGGCTTCATACATTTTAACAATCTGTTCCAGTTCTTTCATGAAAAGCAACTTTAGCATTCCCTGGTACGTATCCAGGTCAGCCAGCTGGAAGAGTTCCCACTTCAGAATGTGGTCATATCTGTTTTAAAACACAATCAGACATATGTTCACAACACATACTTAAATAAGAACTTATAGCAATAAAATGGTCTATTTTTATAAATATGAATTTTATTATAACTAAGTAAACTATAAACTGTAATTAAAAATAACTGAGCTATTAACTGCTAAATGCACTATTTTTTAGGGAGAGGAGAAAACTGCTAATATTACTTCATTTCAATTTAAGTTAAAAAAATACCCATTTCTGTTCATCTTAAGTATCAGTTATTCTAATATTAACAGATAGACAATAATGAACACATATTTTAAACCACTGTGGTTCTATAATTTCTGAAGAACACATTTCAAATTATTCATAAGTTCATCCAAAGTTAACTGTCAGGAACTTAAGAATACTTTAGATGACACTGTTTCTACAAAGAACAATACACAAAAATGGGCAAGATCATTTGTGTCACTAGTGTTGATGAAGCTTTTTGAGGCATGCTGATCACTACAGCAAACAAGGAAATAAATAGAGGAATGAAAAGGAACCATCATTTGTGGGCTGAATTTTCCTGAGGTTGAGTATATAATATTAAAAACAAACAGAAAAACTCAAGTAGAAAGGAAAGAATAAGCTCTTTTCAAAATGAGAGAATAAGTAGACTGTAGAAGACTCCACAATGTAGGGATGGACTCACGTAAGATTATATTTATAGGCATTTCAGAAGGCATTTAATCCTTCAATGGTAAGCAGATCACATACTGACACGGAAGTATGCAACAAACTTCTAAAGCAGTAATCTACAATTTGCATTGAAAGAGACCTAAAGACAGCACTCTAATCCAATCTTCTCACTTCTTGATGAAACCTAAAGAGGCTATATACATATCTCTTGCTAAACTGTTTAGTGACTAGAAGATCAGAAAGGCAGAGAACTAATGGGCCAAGGTGCAGCAGAGTAATAGTGTTGAATGTTAATAACTACTAAGATTAGAGAAAGAAAACTAGAACTAGAGCAAGGCATATACTTATATAATTTTAAAGCTATACTTCTCAAATCATATTATGGAGCAGACATAATACGAAGACCTTTCATTGTAAACTCCAGTAAATTTATTCTTTTTTTAAGATACATGTAATATTTTATTTTATTTTCCATTTTTTTTATTGAGTTCTAGTCATTTTACAATGCTGTGTCAAATTCCAGTGTAGAGCACAATTTTTCAGTTACACATGAACATACATATATTCATTGTCACATTTATTTTTCGCTGTGAGCTACCACAAGATCTTGTATATGTATTTCCCTGTGCTATACAGTATACGGTAAATTTATTCTTAATAATCATTTACAACATTTCCTACCCAATGATCCTTTGCTTGGTAATTCATTTAATGTCTTACCTGCTTCCTTAGCGCAGTAGGCAGCGTGTCAGTCTCATTTACTGTCTTATTCCAAAATCATCTATTTTTTTTAAAAGGTTTTATTTTTAATAAAAAGAAACAGTACACAAATACAGAGAAGCCAGTATGAGCCACATACTGTGCCTGGCACGTCCACATATATTCCTGTACAACTTGGGTATGTGTACCAGGAATATCAGAAGCACGTTAAATAAAATCACAAGGTAAACATATTTCGTTGGATCCCAAATGTACCAATTTAATGAGCACTGCAAATTTACTAACAGATATACTTGGTAGAAAGCTTTATATTCTCTTTAGTTGTTAACTCCAACTACTTGCCAACATAAATTGGAGAAATATTACCAGAAATACTTAATAAGCCTCTATGAAGCCTCTATGAAGAAACAGTTGCAAGGTGTTTCCTAGAAACTCTGCCATTCATGTACCTTAAAATTTTACTTGTTTGAAACAAATTCATAATTCCTAACAAAAAACTTTAATCTTTCTGAGTCTGAATTTCATAGCTAAGGGACATTTCAGCAATGTCTACTGATTTCAAGTTGCTTAAACTTATGCCAGGTGAACTGTAAGAACACTAAAGCTTATGTATCATCTATATACTTTCTAGCAAGGAAAAAGGAGAAAAATATAGTAATATTAGTAAATGTCACACCTGTCTTTAAGACATGAGTATCATTCTATATAAGCATTCAAGTTTTTTTTAAAAAGAAAAAAAAAAGCTGCAGACAGTTTTCTGACTCCCAATTTAGCATTAAGAATAGGATTTTGGGTAGAAGTCACAAAATCAGAGTAATTAGTAAAAATACTTTGAGAAGAAGAAAAAGCATTCTGGGGGTGGGTACAGCTCAGTGGTAGAGCCCATGCTTAGGATACATGAGGTCCTGGGTTCAATCCTCAGTACCTCCATTAAAAAAAAAAACAAAAACGCCATTTAAAAAAAAGAAGAAAAAGCATTCTAAGGAAGAGCACAGACGAGAAAAGTATGCCATGTGCCAATTTCCATTCCAAATTCTTGCCCCTGCAGTTTCTATATAGTTACTGCCTTCTGCCTATGCCTGCCTTTTTTTTTTTTTACAAGAAGTATGTCATTCTCATTTTTCTCTTCTTAAGGAATCAAATAATCTGCTTCAGTTTAACTTTTAGTCACTATACTCTAAATATACAGGGAAATCATTCAGAAAATAGGCTATAAACTACTCCAGTAACCTTTTCTTATAGTATCTCTTTTACTGTTTTTCCTAGGGTAATATTCAAACAGTACTTGTAAATAACCCATATATGCAAACAGCAATTGCTGTAATGCTACCAAAAAATCATGTGCACACTCCAGTGGATGCTACCTTCAGGAGCCAAAAGTGCTGCTATTCCCAGCCCCGGGTATCATAACATAGCCCAAGTTCCCTGTGCCTGCCTTATCTAAAATCATGCCCACTCTTCCTTTCCTCCTACAGCCAGAAGTGAGTCAACGGTGATAACACAGGATCACCAAGACACAAGAATAAAATAGAGTCAGTACCACAATGCTATTGGGGACTGGTGTTGGCCGGGGGGGGGGGTGGTGAGGAATACTGGAAAGTAAACATGTTCCTA